AAGTATACGCTGTGTTATTCAATTTACGTGTATGTGTACGCTGGCTGCAATGCGCAAATTGAACACTAATCATTAACTACAAAAAGAAAAATTCTGAACTCACACATCACTACCAGGTAAGTGCATACAGCTATGTCCGCAATAGAGCTCAGGCCAGATGGGTTATTCATCATCGCTGTTCCTGCCGTTGACATTGTATAAATATACAGCCAGTAACTGTCACTGTGTGATTCAGTGCGTCATTTATACTGGTCGGATTTTATGAATATTCCATTTAACCTAAGGGAAGTTTGTGTACATCAGAAGGTTTTTTCTAATTTACATTATTTTTCTTTCCGTGGATTCTTCCACAATCTATCTATATTCACAATGCGTATACTCGCAGCATCACACACTCATTAAAATTGGGTGTTACAAATGTTTGTTTCAACATATTGAAATGAAATGAAGAGGAATACTCTTTTTACTCCTCTTACTTGAGACATTCAAGACATTGTGATGCTTTTATCTAACGTAATCTTGGATGATCCTCAATTAGTACATTTTTGGGGTTTAAAATTTTAAAATTTCCAGACACGTTAGAGGATTTTCAATATAACTTTAATACTGGTTGGATCTACACTGGCTTAATGAATCTTCAATACATCCGTAGTTCATTTTATTCTATCACTATAATTCACGGTTGAATGTTCTCATTTCAAATGTTAATGTTAAGTTCACGACTTTCGTCTATTTGTTTGAAACTGAAATATTAAAAGAATCCGTAAACGCCCATTACACCAAACAATGCGCATCATAATTTTATCTGAGGAATGTTCAGAGATCTAGTGGGAGAAAATGTTCGAAATGCAAATCGCAGTTCTTTTTTTAAAAAGGCATACATTTTGTGGAAATTAAGCTTAAAACGAAATGCGGACGTGGACGTATTCAGTTATATGTGTGTTTAGTACAGTTTTTATTAATTCCTTGTAGCCCCCCCCCCCCCACGTGTTGTTTCATTTTCCTACCACTAAACGAAGACATACTAAAGAAACAGGTGATATACCGCAATTCACTCGGGAGAATATTTGGGAGTGGAAATTCACGTCCGTTCGGTCCGTCCGTCCGTCCGTCCGTCCGTCCGTCCGTCTGTCTGTCTGTCTGTCTGTCTCGCACAATCCTATTCTTTACATTACAATCGTCACATACCTTGCCGGGTTAATACATTGGTCTATTTTACATCTAATGTTTTTACCAGGATTGGTCCTAATCATTACAGCTTTAATCATTGAATATTTAGTTAATTACCATTTGCAGTCTTCTCCTCCCATGTGACTCTAGACCAGTGGAGGTATATAGACTCAATGTGTGTTCTTTGACTTAATTTGCTACAAATATGTTGAAATGCCACACTATATTGCTATTAGTCGAAAAACATATCGGTGATGCTTTTTATTCAATTGCCTACTCAAAATGTTGTACCAGCAGCATCACGCTCAGCCTTCGATATTGTAATCTGATTTGTTGGGATGATTAGTCTGCCTATAACATGCCTAGCATCAGAAAAGTCATGTACCTCGTCAGTTTGGAGACTTGCCACGCCAGTGTACATCAATAGTTCTCTCAATGAGAGAACTCACACAGTCCAAATTGAGGTTTTCTATGTTCTTTACTCATTGATTGTGTGGTATACTATCAAAAAATGTCTTACTGTTGGATATATTATTATAATAGATGTGTACTTCGAATCTTCCCTTGCTGCATAACTTTCTACAATGTTCTATTAAATTCTGGGCCTCAAAAAGTGATTTGACTGACTTTGTCTACATAAAACACATGTTTGACAAATTCCGTATTCTCTTTACTATATCTACTTTGAAATTCATACATATTGGCTGTAAAATTCTGGGCAACATCTGCACAATGAGGGAAGTAAGTCAATTACCAACGTTGCGATCTTTTTCATCTAATGCAACTTGATGAAAAAACGTGGAAATAACATCACATACGGAAATTTACAATTCGAAGAACATCTAGCTCCATATACATGATCTGTCTTATACCATTTTAAATCGTGACAGGGTCATTACTTTACATGGTGGAATGTACTTTAGATTAGAATTTGTTCTCTTTGTTAAAAATAAATTTCAATGAATGTACCAATTCATCTTCAAATATTATGGGTTTATACTCTTGTTTAGGCAACAGGACTCGTTCACGGAATAGTAAACATTTATTATAATATCATCAGGCTGATCTCCTTCATTTCATCATGAAATTGTTAATATGAATCGTGATACTTTTTATTTATTAGTTCATACGTACGCTTTAAAGCCTTATATGTCATCGTGATACTGGTAATTCTGAGATTTCTTTGTGTTATCACGATTTTTCCTTACTCCGCTAGATAGAGTTTTACTGTAATGATTGTTATTGACATTATCTCAACCATGCTGTAAGATTGTATATAATAACTTTATTATCGGTTGCTCCATATAATACTGCATTGATGTGTAGAGCCACGGTTGCACACGTAACACAATAGGAGTATTTAGTAAGATCTGTTAAATAAATTAAATTCCGGTTGATTTAATAATTTTGAAATTTAATTTTAGGCATCACTGTCGTACTGAACGTGACTCAGTAGAGGGACATTTTGTAAAATATTATAGGCCTTTTGTCTACCAGAAGTGTATATATACATAATTATTGGGTGATCTAAGTGGTAAATCTTAAGCTAATAAAAAGGGTGTATGTACATATACTAAACATTGAAATTTCACGTTTTAGACAGTCATTCATTCAGAACCTGTGACGTTGTTTATGTGATTGTTGAAAACTTGTTGCTCATTCCTTGCACGTTTCGATTTCGTTGCATCTGGACGTATGGTGCTTCATGATTGCGATAATTCTTTACCCCAATTGATATCTACATCATAAGTCTGCTTTGGGGCGGAAGGATTTATGTGGGAGCCATTACATGCTTCACGTGCCTTGTCAGTCCGTAGACCAACGTTACACTACTCTCTATTTATTCGGTCATGATTGTCTTATCCCATGCTTATGTGCGTGAGACTAAATTTAACAATTAACGTCATGTTATTTTATCCATATTCCAGCCTGGTAGACATCCAGGTTGCCAGTAACATGAATTGAAAGATTCTAAAACTGGTCCAGTTTGCTTTTGGAACATTTCCGCCTTCAATTCGGGACAAAGCAGATCAAGAAAGCTTTCAAACAAGAAGTTTGGCAAATAATATTTGTCTGCTTTTTGAGATGCACAACATGAAAACAATGTGATCCACATTATTACAGTTTATAATACTTCAAGAAAAAAATTCTATTTTACATCTGTGTTTTTCAGTGTAATTTATTCCAGAGCATCTTATGCTTATGCACATTATGCAATTAATATGCTCGGATTTCAATCCAAAACTAATCAAGTCGTTGACATTGTTCCTAGGCATTTATATACCATGTCTTATTGAAATGCAATAATCGGTTTTGAGATATAGATAGAAAATTGAGTAATTATTATGCACATTAGTTATTTAATATGCATGAATATTGAACCAAAAGTCTGTGCATTGTCATAGAGCATATATGTACCAAGTTTCATTGAAATGTGATGATTAGTAATTAAGATATCAGTAGAGCAGTTGCGGAACACCTAACACTTGGTAAATTATCATTTATTATCATAAACATCAAGTAATTAATATGCACGGTTTAAAATCTGCAAATGCTCCCATTACGTACACATAATGCAACCATGCTGTTTTTTTTATTAACATGTTGTTTTACGTGATTTTTTTTCTTTTGTTATATATTCATGAACATGTCACCTAGTCCAAATGCGCAAAAAATGTCAGATTCGGACAAAAGAATCAGTAGTCAAAAATATAATAGCGACAAGCGTATTTATAACTACTGTGGTGTTGAAAAAATGTTGCAGTGTCCTTGTTCAAGAGAAAACGAAGTAATGTAGTTTGGGTTGGAGAGAAAAAATGTTGGCGTCTCACGCAGAACAGCATTCTATGTTCTATTTAGTAAGATCTTGCAATCGTGACCAACGCTATATTGATTCGCAATTTAGGAGGTTGCAACGTAAAATAACACTAAGATTAACATATTAAGATAAATATTAAAATAAAATCGAGTTCGAACAAAAACAAATATTTTTAAATTGTAACTGACAGAACTTTATTGACTACAAAAAAACATGTTGTACATGTACTAATGCACTAGTTGTTTGCGTGTACCTCTATTAATTCAACCGTTATGTGAAATTTCACGGCGAGAAAGATGAAAATAAACAATTATATATCTAATTTAAGAATAAGACGTTGTTGACCAAAAATTGGAAACAATTAGTGCATGTATAACTTTTATAAATAAACCTGATATTGGGTGCATGACAACATACATTTCCATGATGTGTTGTTATATTATTTGGTGGGATATACTAGTAATATATTGTTATATACTTTGATATATTTTAGTTTACACATAGGTATGTTTATGAATATAAAGTCATACACTGTAGCAAGCATTTCAAATCAAGTATGACATTAAGGTAGTTAGTTATGCATTATTCCCATTACGTCACTGAAATATGACTCAGAAGCTGATTAATGTAGATTAACATTGTTGAGACAATGAACTTAATTCCATAAATGAATTTAGCTACTTTAAAACTTTCATAAATGAAGTGAGTATAAATTCAGTTCAATTTTTAACAATATAAATTCTGTTTTCATCTGTTCAAAGGCCGCTACCAACTTTCGTCATATATAAAAAATAAACATGATTTAAATTGTAAAAATAATATATGTAGATTAGTAATGGGCATGATATATTACAAATATACTTGTGTTAAAAAAATATGTTTACAATATAAATAATGTATCACTTTCAAAAAAAAATTCAATATTTCTAAATCAGTATCATCCAAAATGGAATTCCACAACAGCTTGATATGTATCTATTTTTATATAAAAGGTCTGTTATTTATATTTTATTTATAGGTATGACTCATAATATTTTGAATTTGTGTGGATCCCCTTAACTTCAACATCGGGGGTTTGTTCAGAGTCTTGAGATGTATATACAGGTGTTTCTGATACTGCAATATCTTCATCTGTTCGCCATTTTTTTAACATGACCTGGTTGTCATCATCAACAGTTGACTTATTAGGGCTGCCAAACAAATTGCTGTTCAAATTAATTGATGTTTCTTCAATCATTTTTGTATCAGAAATGCTTTTTCTTATCAGCAGTGGACTGATGCTGATTCGACTCCATGGCTGTCCATTCTTATCAGCTATCTTTGTATGTAGCACTTTAATTGGAAGACTGGAATCCCTTCTTCCTGATAAATCATACCGTTCCTTATTTCCAGTATGGATATTGCACTCACTTCCACATCTCCGGTAACCAGTCATTGCAGGATTAATCACCTCTAATTCCAAGAGGTCAGGAAGACTTTGATTTCGTGATAATTTCCATTCCACTTGAGCAAGATCTCTTTCCTTTGTCTTGTTTTCTTTAGGCTTTCTAATTGTCAAGTTGGGCATACTACTGTGTACATTGGAGTCATCAGACAGAAACTTGTCAACAGATGTATTGCTGATGCTCTGTTCGAAAGTAAATGAAGTTTGCACATTTGGAGTTGGACTCACCAAACAAGAATCACTTGTTGTCCTTTTCATTTCAAGTGGTGGCAATTTAAATTTTAAATCAACAATTTCTTGTAGTTTTTTCTCAATAATATTTTGTTTTTTAATTCTGTTGTCCGTCTGTGTTGCCCTGTCTTGCCTTGGTAGTTTGACTCTGACTTGTACATTCTGAAGACCAACACCATTGTGTAAATTATGTGTGCCATTTGAGCCTGAAAGAATAAATGCTTATATCAGAAAAAAACTGAGTGATGATGATGTCTTTTTACTGTTTTTGGAATAACACAATTTTACTGTAGAGTCCTTTATATTCACTTGAAATTGATTTGTTATATTCTTACTAAATTAGTAATATCAGTGAAAAACAACATAGCGTATCTATTACAGCCTTCGATTTCAAGTGTTTTGGGGCAAATATGGTCACCAGTAAGAAATTTGTTATCATATAACGAACACAAAGTGACATGCATCAGTAACCGATGATTTGGACAAAATTAGCACAGGCATGCCTGTGAAACTATTGATAACATGTTCAAATGTTTATGTTTTCTGGGACAACAATGGTCACCAGTCGGTCAAATGTCAACCAAATAGGAAAAAAATCAAAGCGCATATGCATCCATTAATAACTTGTCTTTGTACCAGCTTTGAATAAAATCAATCCAGGAATGTCCAGGAAATGTAGGAACGGTCAGATTCTAAAATATAAGTCTCTATTTCGAACTGAGACTAAATATATAAAGAAATCATACAAAAACTAAACTTGGCTGAGATCCCAAACTGGTGAATAAAGTAAACAAATTTAAAAGAGATTTTACAAGAACTTAAAGAAGTTATTGCAATCACAAGAAAATGTTTCATCTAAGGTAAAAATTTGAATAATATATTCTGATGATTTGCATGTAATCAAGTATGGTAATTATGAAAACAACTTATATTATGGGTAATTATGTCTACATAATTTGAGGTTTTCAGTGAAAACAATTAATCCACAGTAAATGGTTTTCAGCTGATAATTACTAATGTAGAGGAACATACTGATGTGAAGTAGTTATAGTTTTCATTAAAAAGCTAGTCTAGCTTCCAAGTAATTACCTAATAAGTTGTGTGTAACGGATGACGAATTTCTTTTGCCTGTTGATGATGGACAGCTTGCATTAGATGATTTTCTTATCTTCTGAAATAAAAAAGAATGAATTTTGTTATCACCAATAGTTGCAATATTTCTTACTTATTTAATTCATTTGCATATCCCCCCTCCCTGTACCCAAACAATTATGATAGAAAAGAGGCCATCACCAAATTTTAGAATCAAATTTGACATATTTTTCAGTTTTGTAATTTTCTTTTAAATATATATTGCTATAGTTGTAGTTTGTTCAATAAATATGTTTACAATAAAACAAGAACAGTGACTTTGTTGCTGTTGACATTTGAAACATTATACATCTCGTGTAAAATAACTGATCAAAATATTTCCTTTATTTTGAGTAATAGATATTCTGTTGATTGTCGCAATAATGTCTATCGCCATATAGTGATCACAATTGTCTTTTTCTGTTATCTTACTAAGCATGAGTTAACATGCACCACAAGTGATGTTCCTTATACTGATTCAATACGGTTATGAAGAATATAATGAAGTTCCATTCTGAAGTCACACAAATGATCATCACTGAATAGCATGATGAATCAATAATTCTATGTGCTGATGGGAATTGGCTAGTATACTTCCTAGATTAATTTCGCAAGTTAAGTTTGCACAAAATAAAACTTGTGTACAAAGAAAACTTCATCATACATCATTGGATGTCTAAGCTGCATACTTTTATACTTATAAATATTTTATACAGCACAGTCTTAGCATAACTCCCTATATTGCTCTCAGCTAGCTTTAACTTGAATCAAAGAAAGCTAAGAAACAACCATGTGCTATTTGAGGCATATTTAAAATTAATTCAAAATTTAGCCTCTTAAAAAAAATGTTTGGTGACTAATAGTGGTCTGCTATTTGACAAGCACAACATGAAAACAATGTATTGAAGAGTATAATATATAATAAATGTGATTGTATATCTGTGGTTTGTTGTCTAATTTATTCCAGAGCAGTTCTACCACAAAATCTAATTTTTTGAGATATTATAAATTGGCTAATAAAAATTAGATGATCAAACTAATCATGTCGGTGGATCACTCTGAATAACTATGTACCAAATTTGAACTAATTGATGATTATGCAAATTGGGAAATTAGTATACTCAAATTTCTATCCTAAACAAATCAGGTCTTTAGCATTGGTTAATATGTTATTAGGGAATTAACATGCATGCATTTCAACCCAATACTTTAAAAAGGTCAGTTGAATAACTAAATATTTTACATGGAAAATACTTGCTAAAATTTAGATGGGGGAAAATTCTGACCAAAAAAGTCAAGTGACGATTAGTACATGAGATATCAATGGGAAAGCCAAAATTTAATTAATTATTATGAAAATTAGGTAACTAATATGCATGGATTTTAACCCAAAACTGATCAGGCCTGTGCATTATCCCAAACCATCTATAAGTTCATGCAATGAAATTGGTTCTTGAGTTAATGGTGGAATAGACAAACATATCAACATATGTATATAAAATGACATGCATCAAGATGCCATTATGTTCTCAAGATAGATTTTTTTTTGAAATTCAAAATTGACAATTTTTGTTGATGGAACTGCCTGAGAGCACATTGACTGTTCATCAAGAAAGTCAAATTATCCAATATCAAGGTGGACTGATAAAAAATAATGGCTTTAGTCAAAAACAAGTTAATTACATTAACAGTTCCTGTTAATTAAAATATCATATTTTTGACAAATTTGTCAAGCAGTTGAGTAACTAATGTTTTGAGTTTACAGTAGAATAACTATGTCAGTATCCCTATAATGTAAGAATTTCAGTTCAAATGCTATTTTTGGTTGCTACGTAAAAAAATATTCAAGAAAATATGTGCATTGCAGAAAAATCCTTGTACCACTGCATACCCACAGACGGAAACAGGACAATACAGTACTCATTTCGCACAACCTCCCACCCGCTTTCGATTTTCAATCGCTTTTTTTCGCTCGCTTTTGCGACCACTTGTTGAATAACTGCGCAAACATTTGAAATTCGGACTAACAAAAAATGTTTTTGTTTTCTTATAATTAATTGTCATTCTGGTTTTCGTAGATGTTGAACAGCTGTCGAAAGTTCAAATACTATCTATAATTATAGGCACGCAATCTGACCCTTTGACCTTGATTTGGCTTGGATTGAATATTTTATTTTAAACAATATTCTGAAAATATATTTCAACGCAATATGTTTACGATTTGTATAATAATTGTTGTTTTCCCCCAAGGCAATGACAAGCTGAAAAACCATGAAGCTACATTGTGAATGGCAGTTCCATGCATGGACTGAGTGAAAGTAAATATTTCTAAGCCTAAAATAAAACCTAATATTACACCTCTTTGTGTATTATCGATTTTGCATATATTTGGTATGACAGTATGTATGTAAATATCTGAAAAAAAAATCTCGTCTTTCGTTAATAATTTTGATTGTTTGGAATGCCTGTCGACCGTGTCCCAATATCGATCCCAATATCAATATCGATATCAATCCCCGTTGGTTTCTTCATACTGAGTTTAGGACGGGCGTCGGTCCAGACATGCGGCATTCAACACAATCAGCCGAGACAGGACAAACAATGTCAAATAATTTATGGGGATTGTGTCCCGTAATTTGCTGGCTGAAACCCCAAATAATTAAACAAGTATTATTATTATATATATTTTATTTTACATAGCGAAACTACAACAGAGCTCGAGTTGTTCGAGGTGAAACCATCGCTTTGAACTTGAAGGCGATGCAACTTCAACTGGCCATTTCTCACCTTGAAATAAAAAAATAAAATTCGAAGAGCATCGGGGAAATATATTAATAACCATTCTTAGCAATAGCTAGCTCTTTTATTCAAATCCATAAAATTCATGATTTTTCGACACTTGTTGGCTACTTCAGTGCTAAAAATGATTGAAAATGTGGGTGTGGTTCTCTTGCAAGTCCTCGTGCTCCGATCGGATGACTTTCAGCAATCAATGATGTTGTAACAAAGCATATTTGACGCTAATTGAAAGGTCATCGTACCATTCAATCTCCGGCGTTGATTTTTTTTTTGTGCTGTGACAGGCTTCAAAATTATTCACTGAAAAACATCAGTATATTTTGTCAAACGAGTGGGATTTGACCTAAGGTCGAAAAGAAAAAAAAATAGGCTAAGGTAAGAAGTAAAATTCATTTCCTTACTTTTGAAGAAGCCACACTTGAGCCATGGGCTTGATTAGAATATGCGGAACTAGTGTAACGAACACGTATGCATTCAGGACAGCAGTGGCTGTCACGAATAGAACTACGGTATGCTTTCTTCACCTGAAATTGATCACAAATTGTCATGAGTAATCAGTAACATGATATAATGATTTCATGATCTTCAATAGTTACAATTAACTCTCAACAAAACAATAATTGTGAATTACTTACATGTATTTTAGCA